AGGGGGTGGGTGGGCAGTCGGACGCTTTGAAAGCCCTCCGCCTTTGGGGGATTCTTCTCCTCTTTAGAGGGAAGCGGGACAATTCCACACCAAAGGGCGTTCTGCCACTCACTTCGGCACGCGCCTTCGCCTTTTTCCAAAGGGAACGGAGATCAGGTACCAGCTCTGCCGGAAAGCCCCCGGTTTCTAACCCAGCCACCAGAAAAATACAGCTTTTCGATTTCGCAGAGGCTTCCCACCCCCCACACCATTTTTATATATATTCTTTCTGTATCGCACTGCATCGCACTTCGGAGAGCCAGTTGAAATCTGCCTATCCAAGAACTAGGTTCGCTTCAGATTAACGCCCGAAACATTGCCAAAAAGGCTCCTGTTGATTCCAAGGCAAATAAATGACTTTCTCTACTTAGATACAATTATTTGGACACTGAATGGTTTTGTTTCATAGGCCCCTCCCAAACTGTTTAATTTCAAATCCCACCACATCTCTCCAGGCCCAAGGAATACTCTGAGTAAGAGACCGATGGTGTGTGTGCGAGAGAGAGAGAGAGAGAGAGAGAGAGAGAGAGAGAGAGAGAGGAGAAATCTAGGAATTTTGAATCGGTCTGTTAAATTCTGGAAGTGCTTGCCAAGAAGTATATTTATGGACGTGAATCTTTCTGGTTCAATAAATCCTTCCGAAAACAATCTATATTGCTGGATGTCAATACATATAACCGATAAATGGCCTTCTTCGACATCGCACGGAAGCTGGTTCGAATAATGTCAATGGCTCCGCATCCGGAAACGTTGTGCGGCATCGGAGATTGAGGGATGATTCAGATTGAAGGTTGATTCAGCACCACTTGGAGGAGAACAGCGACCAAGACCGATTTTTAAGTCGTTTTCTAAGGACTCGGATATAAACCTAAACTGGGGGAGGGGGGGAAGTAGTGGTATTGGAAGTATGTGTCTAATTTTTGAAACAGAACTCTTGTTTAAGAAAAAAAAAACCGTGTCAAACATTCAAAATATTAATTCTTAAATACTGATTTTTGTGTTTAATAACAGTGATCTAAAAGTATATTCTATATTTCTATGTCTCCCCCATCCCAGTGATTTGAACTGTATGTTTATACAAACAACAAAGGCTTTAGACATATTAAGGACCGGCAACATTATTATAGAGTAAAGGAATTTAAAACAAATACAATCTGCTTCAATTGTTTTCTCTAAGCCTAACTCTGAAAGGGTCGAATCCTGTCTGTTCCTTCTCTGCAGATCTTCTGCCTGCTTCGGACGGAGAAGCGGTCACCTTGGCTTTCCTACAAGATGTGATGGACATTTTGCTCCAGTACCTGGTGAAAAATTTCGACCGATCCACCAAGGTGATTGATTTCCACTATCCAAACGAGCTGCTTCAGGAATATAACTGGGAATTGGCGGATCAGCCCCAGACCTTGGAGGAGATTCTGTTGAACTGCAGGACGGCGCTGAAATATGCCATCAAAACAGGTATGCCGGCTCGGCTGACCGCGACCAAAACAAGACAGGTTTTCACTACCGGCCGTCTTGGGCACTGCAGCCTTTTCGTGCTGGGCCTTTAAAGGAAAGAGCTGCAATTTCGGGGCAGGACGAGGGAAGAGGGGAGCAGTATTGACTGGAGATCTTGGCTGATTCCGCCGCGGCTACTTGGTTAGAGCTCAGGACTTGGAGGCCCAGTGGGAGGCCGGACTCTTAAAACCCGAGGATGTAATCATTGCTTGCCGGGTTTGTGAGAGAGGGGGGACAAGTTTCATACCGAGGTCAGGATCCTCCCTCCCCTTTTTAAAAAATGCAGCTTTTGTAAAGTGACCTCAGCCCCCGCCTTTCTTGCAATATTTATCCTATCTCCCCCGGCACCGCGCCTACAGCTCCATCAAAGATCTATGTTTCCATTTCTTTTAAAGGGATGTAAGCGTTTTTCTGGCTGAGCCAATCCGGAGCCAAACGGAATTGGCTCGGGTGCGACGGAGAGTAGCAGTGTGCCTCTCAAGGGCCGGACTGAAATGGTATAGGCCATATCCACACGAGTGATTTATAGCGTCTTATAGTGTCATCCGACCATTGCTGTGCCAATACATCAATAAGACAGACTTTATAGCGCCACAGCGATGGCTGGGTGACCTGGGAGAGGCGATAAATCACTCTGGAGGCAATCGCTTTTGGGGTGGAGGGTAGGTGGGAACAAAGGGAGTCACGGGCGAGGAGGGAGAATAAAGGAAATCGGGAGCAAACGCAACAGGGCAAGAAACGAGCCGTCAATCGAATCGGAGGGTTCGTCGATTCCGTCTGTTAATACTCCTATTTCTATTGTTGCTGTTACTTTGCCTTACTGCCCATAGCATAAAGCGCTCTGTGGGCGACTTCATTCACCAGATGAGTTCCATCATCCCCAGCCAGTGCCACCACACTGGCTCCTGTTCCTGTGCTGGCTGAGTGATGGGGGTTCTATTCCACTGCATCTGGAGTGCACCCAGCTGGTGAGGGCAGCCCCATTCATACACTAATATTTGTAGGTGTTACTGTTCTTCTCCCTCTCCTCTTCTTCCTCCTCTGCCTCTCCTTCCTCCACCTTCATGGGACACTTTGCTCTCCTCTCCCGAGAAAGGAAGGTGGCTAAAACCCTACTTGGGAGTAAGCCAAGGCGGGGCGGGGCGGAGCGGTGCTTGTCCGACCTTCGCGGCTGATGGCCCGGTTCTCGAGGTGCCCATGGGAAGGAGGTCGCTCAGAGGTTTGCCCCCAGCCAAGCTTCGGGGCAGCGCAGCCTCTTTGTTTACTATCCTGCATGCTCCTCTGCCTCAGTTCACAGATTTGGGGGAAAAGGCTGGGAAAAAGGGGTGCCATACTTAGGGATTTGCCTGGATCTTGATGTGGCGCCCGTTTTCTTTGTTACTGAAGCTGCCCTGGCTTGAATTTCGTTGCTAGTACAGCCTTCTTTCTTCTTCCGACATTCGCGCGCGTGTGTACTTGTGACATCGGTTGTTTTTAAGAATATCCCGGTCAGTTCAAAACGTGGGGGCCATGACTGATTGTGTAACTGGGTCGACGGACTGATTTAGGACCCATCCATCCATCACTGATTGCAGATGGGTATATTTAATTTCCAAATATCCCGGTTTGGGTACACAACCTCTTCCTAATTCCTCCTTACAGGCAGCTCCGGAAAAGGCGGCGTTGCTTTCTCTTGAAAAAAGGCGGGGGGAGGGGGGCTTTTTCAGCCCGATCCTTCAGCACTCCCTTAGAAATCATCCCTGCAGCTTTCCCCGGATTCAAACCCAAGGAAGCCTGTAAAAAATTCAGGCTTCGTTTAATGGCAGATTAAGAAATTTGGAGCGAACGCACTAAAGGAGCTACTCGCATTTGGGAGAAACCTGCACCGGAGTTCACATGGTCACATTCCAAGGCTGCCATTGCAAAAAAAGCCTAGCAAACCCGGTAGGATTTGTTCATGAATAGTAAGTAGGTCTGAATGGAGAGAATTCTTTCGGTCTCCAGCCTCTGAGCAGGAAGAATCCACTGAAGTTGTTTTTTTCAGGTGGAGACCCAGAATTTGTCCACATTTGAGTCAGGCATTTTAACTGAATGACCTAGAGAGTGTGTAGTTTAAAACAGGCCTTCCCCACCCCACCCCACACACTCCTGATGTCCTCTTGATGTGTTGGACTCTTCTGGGCAGAATTTTCAGGCTCAGCTCCAGGCCTCCATGGCTGAGAACTCAGGGAGCTAGTCTTCCTGCACTGAGATAAAAAACAACAGATTTATTGTGGCATACAGTTCTGAGGACCAAAGCACATTTGCATGGTTTTCTGCAGATAGACTTTCTGCAGCTCACTCCAAGAAGTGAAAGAGGACCTTGATGTGTTTCAGTTCTATTGAGGACCCAAATCAGAACGCATCATTTCCAAGGTAGAGAAATCAGGAGAGATCAGAACCAGCACTGGGGAAAGCATCCACTGTAAGCAAAGCTGAGAACAGGGAACCTCACCTTCCCTTTTATGCCCCCACCCCCACCCAAAGGAATGTCCTAGATGCTGGAAATCACTGGTCAGGAAATGAACCAAGATACACAGGCAGCACATCCAAGGGAAGAGCAGCACCAAGCTCCCTGGAATAAATGAAGCAAAACAAAAGAAGTCAAAGCAGCGTGATTTCTGAGGCCATTTCCATGTTTTTGAGTCCCTCAACATTCCAGTGTTTGTCCAACCTGCTGGAGTGGTCCTTCTCTTCCAAGGATTCTTTCAAGAGGCTGGCTGAAGGTGGCACAATGAGGCCCATTCAAAACAACTAAGCCAGTCAAAGGCAGGATAGGTGTCTGAATCAGTTCAGCTCAGAGGAATTGGAAATCCAGAATGGGGACACATGAATAATGTTTAAAAACTAAGTTGGTCCGGCTCACAAGACTGTCCACGAAAGCATCCCCAGTTGGCTACAGAAGGATATTAGAGGCAAGAAGGCCACCTGAAGTTCAGTCTTCCTTCCTCCCTGCAGGAAGGGCTTTGCAGGAGCTGACCAGAAGAAAAGAGCTGGAGTGGTATTGGGAAAGGAGGAGAAAGATGTCTATCCAGGTCTCTAAGTCTCACTCATTCATGCAGATATTTCACTGAGAGATGTATGCATGCACATGCATGCAAATATCCACACCCACAAACACATATAAGCTGACACATTAAAAGATCCATTAATCACATCTGTAGGAGTGGTTTTCAAGGGTTGCAACTGTTGTTCATTTCTCATGTGAATAATACAGCTAGTGCATTTCACAAAGACAGATATCCAACTTTCAGCAGGAGGAACCTATTCTGCATTCCTTCCTTAAAGGAAAGCACAAGGTATTATTTCATCCAACACTCAGTCACACATAAGAAAATGCAACTATAAAAATACAGGGGCAATTACTCGAATGATCAATAGGTTACTGATCCAGTTGATGGGCATCACACATTTTACTGCACCATGTGATTTGCTTGCTGTTTGTGGGTATCACAGTCTTCTCCAGTTGAACATCCTCCAGTGGATGGACTTCAGTTCCCAGAATCTTCCAGTCAGCATGACAATTGCTAAGAATTCCAGGAGTTGGAGGCCACACATCTGGACAGTGCTCAAACTGGCCTATAAGTTAGATCAGAAATCAGCTAAATTTCCTTCAACCTTCCAGATTTACTAGACTTCAGAAGAACCAGATGCACATACTGGGAGCTGAAACCCAGGACAATTGGAAGGCAGCAGGATGGCAAAGTCTGAACTAAACTATGAAAGAGAGAATGAATGACATCAATATTGTTATGTAAATTTTTTGAAACCCAAGGGTTTTCCCCATTTACTTGGCTAGAATAAGAATCAGACAACCATAGAAAAATGCTGTCTGATACTCCTTGAGCCACAGAAGAATACACTGGTATAAGTTTTGCTAACCCAATTGCCAAGCTCTATTCTGCTTGAATGAGACAGGGCTAGGGTTAGCACATGGCTTAATCAACAAGCTATGATTATACATGTGGGGCTGCATTGCTACAGGTTTACCTGTGGTTAAATGAACCATGGTTTTGCAATTAATCCAGTATTCTAGATTTTTTGCCACACACTGAACCATAAAAAACTATGGAGTTTCTGCAGTACCTGATGCTAAAGCGTGGTTCAGAATACTCAATGATCTTTGGATCTCTTGCAGTCTGTTTTCCTGCAAATACCATGTCTTTGGATTTAAAAGGTTTTCTATATTGCTGGCAATCACAGGTGCACAGATGTCCATTAACAGAAGAAGAACTGGGGTGTCTAAAATGCTATTTATGATTTATTACTATGCAAATTGGAGGCAACAAATATGCAGGTATGCTCAGATGCGTCCTTGAATGTGAGAATTGTTTAGTTCAGCTTTGCTCAGCCTGGTACCCTGCAGCTGTGCTGAACTTGATCACAGCTCCCATGATCATAATGACAAGGAATTTTGGGAGTCGAGGTCCAGCACTTCTGGAAGGTGCAAGGCTGAGCAAAGCTAATCTGGTTTGGATTAATAACCAATAAGGGTCAGGAGGGCATCCATCAGGGGGCTGCCCCCCTTTTTTCTCTCGTCTCTTCTTTGTCTGATGAAGCTGTGGACATGCTTGACAACCTCTTAGCCATTGCTGTTGTTTTGGCTTTATTTTAACGTAAAGACTCCCTTGAGCTGGGCTAATTCCTAGCGACTACATGAACACGTCCATGCAGTTTTCCTGGCAGGAAAGTGCTTCCGTTGCGTTTCAGGGGGTTGTTTTTCGGCTTTTCAGCTCATCGTGTAGTCCTTGAGTTTCCTAGCGGTTGCATTCACGTACAAACCAGGCTCGATCCTGTTTGCCTTCCGGAACCAAAACAAAGCGCGCTATTTTAGCGTGTTGCCTGAAGCCACCTTCATCTCAGCCATAGTGTGGCGTCCTTGGCTTGACAAGTCGTACGACTGACGGCCTTGCCCTTCTTCACCAGAGGTCGTGCGAAGCCAG